TTTTTAAATATTTCTATTAAGCTTTATTTTTATTTCAGTTTTAGTAATTTTAGTACTTCAACTAATTTATTTCAGTTAGTTACCAAGGCAACATTTCCATCCATTAAAGTTTTTCCATCTAATATTTATATTTTATTTTATTTCAGCTTTATTTCAGTTATCAAAAATTAAAATTAAGTTTTAGTTTTAGTTAACAATATCAACACTGATATGGGGTGTGTTTGTCATTGTGTGTTTTATGAAACATTTGATAAGACGGAAAGTTGCTAATCTTTTTTAACATATTTGTGTAAACACTTGAATGCTAAACCAAATGTACACATATAAAGTGGGGTCAAAAGTTTCAGACTGCATTGGAAATATGAAAGTTTTATCATCTGAACTTCTAAATAAAGTTTTAGGATTTTGATGATGCAAAATGAATAAGAAATATTTAAGACTCTGCAGTATTTGCTCACTATAAAAGCAAGAACATTTGTGACATTGGCTATGTGAAGTCCTCTGAACAGACGATCAGATTGTTCTTCCTTTCATTAAAGCAACATCTCAGATTATGCTGGAGAACATGATTATTAGGTTTTACACAAAACTGTAGCGTTCATCTTTAAAGCAAAAGTGGGACTAACCAAATATTAACATGCTCTGAAAAACTTGATTAAATTAGAATCAGATAAGAAGCATTTTCTCTAGTGTTCTTAGACTTTTTTGGATATGTTTCCACTCATAAAAATCCTGATTTGTTCATTACATTGTGTGTGTGTTTAGCAACTGAAACATCCAAACCTGGTGAATCTGATTGAGGTGTTCAGAAGAAAGAGAAAACTGCACCTGGTGTTTGAGTACTGCGACCACACCGTCCTAAATGAGCTGGAAAGATACCCAAGAGGGTGAGAACACACACACACACATACATGCAGACACACCTATAAAACAGCTCTGTGTTTCTCACACTAACACACATATTGTGTTTTTGTTGCTATGACGCCCAACATGTCTTTAGTGGAATGTTTACAGCAAGGATGCATTTGTCCTCTGTGGTGCACTTGAGGGAGACACTGTTAAACATTTAACAACATTTAACTCTTTATGTGTCGTCCTCTTGATTTACAAGTCAAGAATCAACCAAGCTCACACAGTAGAGCACTTATACATGCACATACACACTATATCATCAGAACCTATAGGGCTAGTGTGGATTTCAGTAGGAGGGTTGAGATAGACAGAAGGAATGGAGAAGAATGAATGGTTAAAGTGAGGTTTGAGTTCAGCTGCATTGTAACGCTTTTTGTGTGTATGTGTGTGTTCACTTAGCGTTCCAGAGCACATGGTTAAAAGCATCATCTGGCAAACACTTCAGGCTGTGAACTTCTGCCACAAACAAAACGTAAGAATTTCAGACTTGTTGCTGCTGTCTCACACTCTATTGCCTTCTTAACAGTATTACTTTCCCAGATTTAATGCCTTTGCCCAGATTAAAGAGTTGAAATGTACCCCTTTTATAAAATATAAAGGCAGCTGCTTTTATACTGTTAGAATTTTTTTGTGTGATATTGACTTATATTATAAAGAACAGTCTTATTTTAGTACCACTGATGTACTTTTACAGTATTTATTGATATTTGGAATCAGTTTCTATTTTTATATACATTTTTTCCATTTTTTAAATATATATATATTTTTTTTAGTTACTTTGTTGTGCATTTTTGTCATTTTAGTAGTTTTTCTTATTTGTCTATATAGTTTTTATTAATTTTTATTTCAGTTTTAGTGTTAATTATTTTAGTACATCACGTTAAACTAAATTAAAATAATACTTTTTTTTTTATTATTTTTTTTTAGTTCACTATAATAACCGTGATAAAGAAATGTCTTTTTTTCCTAAATTAAAAAAAATTGTGACTGTACTAAAGCAAGTTATTACAATATTATCTAGAAAATATTTACTTTGTATAAAGTATTCAAATTCTTTAAATATGTTAAATATATATATTGCATTAAACATATTTATGAATTAATTGAATATCTTAAGCTAACATATTTGTTAATTTGTTAATATTTTGTATTTTTTTTAATTCAAATTATTCACAGACCCCCTAGAACCCCTAATTTAAAAGAAGTGATTTTTGTTTTGTTTCATTTAGTTTTGTTTCACAAATTGGATCTGCCACCTATTTTAGTAAATCCCCAACATCATATGTATATATGTATACATATCATAAACAGTCTAGAATTGGAACCAGCACTTATTTTAGTGGATCCACCACCTAATGACTCTGTGAAAGAAGTCAATTTAATTTTAGTAAAGCATCTTAATTTTGTTTTAAATCAGTTAAATGTTTTAGGAGACTTGAGTAATTTAAAAATGTGTTTTTAGTGTATCCACAGAGATGTGAAGCCTGAAAATATTCTCATCACCAAACATCAGGTCATCAAACTCTGTGACTTTGGCTTTGCCAGGATCCTCAGTGCGTGTACACATACACATACACACCCACACACACACACACACACACACACACACACACACACACACACCACACACACTCTCTACCTTCAACTTTCCATTCATCTAATAACTTGCTCTTTTCCAGCGGGTCCATGTGATTATTACACGGATTATGTAGCGACACGGTGGTACAGAGCTCCAGAACTGCTAGTAGGAGACACGCAGTATGGCCCACCAGTGGACGTCTGGGCAGTAGGGTGTGTGTTTGCAGAGCTGCTCTCTGGTGCTCCTTTATGGCCGGGCAAATCCGATGTAGACCAGCTGTATCTGCTCAGGAAATCTCTGGGTAAGAAACACACATAACTCCAGCTGTTCATATGATATGTGAATGGATGCATGTAATGAATAGAATTTATTTGTGTGTTGTTGTGTTCATAGGCGAGTTGATTCCTCGACACCAGCAGGTGTTCAGCACTAACCAGTTCTTCAGTGGAGTTTGTGTCCCTAAACCACAGGAGATGGTCAGATGATCAAGGTTTCAAGTTTATTTTCTGAAGATCTTAAAAAGTAAACCCGTTCACACTCGATATGTGTCTAATCTATAGGAGCCTCTTGAACTGAAGTATCCAAATCTCTCGTACCAGGCGCTGAGCCTCATGAAGGTCAGTTAGACACACACACCATTCATACAGAAGTCCGCTGCGCACTCAGAACCAGTACCACATCTATAGGAGCCTCTTGAACTGAAGTATCCAAATCTCTCGTACCAGGCGCTGAGCCTCATGAAGGTCAGTTAGACACACACACACACCATTCATACAGAAGTCCGCTGCGCACTCAGAACCAGTACCAGCACGTCTGTCTGTTGTCTGTCTTTGTCAGGGTTGTCTGCGGATGGACCCGGCTGAGAGGTTGTCCTGTGAGCAGTTACTAGAACTGCCATACTTTGACAGTCTGCGAGAAGAGAGCGATAGTGTGACACGTGAACTGGACCGCAAGAGACGTACACGCAAGCCACGCAAACACCTGCCCCCTGGGGTCTGTTGCCATTGACTACAACACTCACATCTAGGGCTGGGCCGTGTGACCTTTATTGTGTGTGAAGCTGTGGAGTTCAGTAGTTATCAGTTATTCCAGGAGTTTATGTCCTAAAAATATTTTGGAGATAAACCACTGGAGATGAAGGATCATGTGACTCTAAAGACTGGAGTAATGATGCTGAAACTTAAGTTTTGCCATCACAGCATTAAACTGTTTTAAAATAGAAAATAAAATAGAACGAGTTAGTTCACGTTTTTACTGTATTTTTGTTTAAAAATGCAGCCTTGGTGAACATAAGAGGCTTCTTTCAAAGACATAAAAAAAAAACTTACCAACCCTAAGCTTTTGAACAGTGTTTAACAGAATATTTATTTATTTATATATTTATGTTTATTATTATTTTTATTTGATCATTTATTTTCAGGTATAAACATAACTATATTACGAATTTTTTTTTTTTTAAATACACTAGATTAATAAAACGTTTTGGTCATACTGCCCACCCCTACTTTTACCCATAGAAATCTCCTGTTTAGTTTAATATTTTAAATCCTCGTTCTCTGTGTAGTATCTGCCTCAGTTGGCCAGCAGTACCATCTTCCCAGCCGTGGAGAACAGAAAATACTACAACAACCTGCGCAAATTCAACTATCATCTGCCCAACATATGATGGATGTCAACTCATCAAGAACCTGAGAACTGACCGACCACCTCCCAGCTTGTGTGTGTGTGTGTGTGTGTGAGGATAGACAAAGGGCTCTGCTCTGCCTGTAGAACAATGATGTCACACTGCCAAAGACTCACAGAGGCATTTCTGTAATATGTAAAATGACAACAGCAATACTAATATTGTTAAAACTGAATGCTGTGTTTAATATTTTGATTAGAAACTGACATCAGTGCTATAGAAGAGTTTGCTCCGTGAGAGATTTTTTTTTACCTCTATTAGATCCAGATATTTTTCTTTATTATAAATCCTAATGATGCTTCATGTATGTTTGAAGTGTGTATATATGACTAAAATCATTTCTAGAGACGTAACCAGACCCAGACAGAATCAACACACTTTTTTCAGATTTTCTGTAGATAAAATTTTCCAGTATGTATTTTAAAAATCTGAATTCTGAGTTGTTGAAAGCACGATCAAGTTCGCCAAATTATTTAATAAATGAAGGCTTTGGGGATGTGTAGAACTCGTTTGAATTGTGCAGAAATCTGTGGCTCTTTCTGTGTGGGCCTGGACATAATCCTGTATTTTGTTTAACATTTATTACCCCATTGTGGACATAATGATCTTTTTGTTGCCTTTATGACTGGTGCTAATAATTGAGCCACTGACTTGCACCAGATGCCAAATTTGAGAGATGTGATTCACAAATATGTTTTTTTGTGTTAAAATTAATAGATGGAAAATTAAATAGTTTTTGGTTGTTTTCAGACTAAATCATTAAAGATCTTTCTGCAACATATATTTGTTTCTATAGCTTATTTATAAGAAATGAAACTAGTCGTGTATGAAGAAACAACAACAAAACGGTTTTTAAAATGTATTGATAATGGCAATATAACAAAACTCCATGTTGTTTGATCAAAGCTAATTCGGTGTTGTTGACTGAGCAGAGCAGCTCTCTGCATCTGTCCCTGGGATGCTAAGTTGCTTGGATACGGTTGCCACAGCAAGTCATGGACATCAGCCAGAGGGGTTGTCTGGCCTGGTCATGAGGCCGTGAGAGTTGTGGTTTTCCAAATGTGCTCTGAGAAGCACTGTGATTGGCTAAGCGAGATCCAGTTCTACAGTGAGTCTGGGAAGTGCAGTCTGGAGTCTGTCCACAGTCTGATCTTTATCTTTTACACCAGGCAGATCACTGAGAAGCAGCCACTCCATGTTCCTAATATACACACCACACACACGATCAGAGGTAACACTTATTATGTCAGTAGCAGAAGCCACTGATTTTACTCTAGTGACAATTTAACCAATATATCAGCCAGGGCTGTTCTTCTCAAAAGTAGATCACTGAAACTTTTGGCAGCACTGGTCTCTATGATCAACTTTAAGGAACAGTTCACCCAAAAATGACAATTTACTGAGAATTTACTCACTCTCAGGCCATCTAAGATGTAGATGAGTTTTTTCTTCATTGGAACAGATTTGGAGAATTTTAGCATTACATCATTTACTTACCATTGGATCCTCTGCAGTGAATGGGTGCCGTCAGAATGAGAGTCCAAACAGCTAATAAAAACATCATAATACATGCAGCTTTTGCTTCACAAGACTTATTTACGGACAAATTAATTGCTGGCCTGGAGTTGCTTGGATTACTTGTGGATTACTGATGTTTTTATCAGCTGTTGGACACTCATTCTGACGGCACCCATTCACTGCAGAGGATCCATTGGTGAGCAAGTGATGTAATGCTAAATTTCTTCTAACTGTTGAGAAAAAAAATCTACATCTTGGATGGCCTGAGGATGAGTACATTTTCAGCAAATTTTCATTTTTGGGTGAAGTACCCCTTTAACTGCTTTACACTGCTTCTGGGAAACGCAACCCTGGCTGACTAATTCTCCAATAGCTGGTCATTTGAGATTATCAACATCATCCAATTACCATGCTTATACGGCATACACACAAAATTATGGGCAATAATGAGATCCAAACTGAAATTAAAGATGCTGTTGCCATACCTGAGGTGATGCAGAGCAATGATTCCTTTATCTGTCACGTTGCCACAGGAAACTACTGTCATGTTTTTCAAACTGTCCTGCAGCGTCTTTATTTGACTCAAATGCTCCAGACAGGCATCTTCTATATAAATACACTTATTGAACCTGATTTCCTCTACGTGCTCGAGACCCTCTAAACACAAAAACAAATGCGTGTTAGTACCAACAATTCTTTAGATGCCTTTGGTAAATATTAATTAATATATAGTCCAAACGATCAGCAACCATTTGGACTTTTTTAATTCTTTAAAATATCTTACATTTTATTTATTTTTAAAACAAATAAATATGTTGTATATATAATTTTTTTTAGATATAATTAATACATTCAAAAGTTTGAGGTCAGTAGATTTTTTTAAAGAAATAAATTTTTTAAGTAGACATAAATGCATTAAATTGATCTGTTGTGCTAATTAATATTTTTGTGGAAACTGATTTTTTTTCAGGATTCTTTGATGAATAGATAGTTCAAAAGAACAGTATTTATTAAAAAGAAATTTTTTACATTATTAATGTCTTTACTGTCACTTACAATCAGTTACCTTATGTAGCAGAATTTCATAAATATTAAATTAAATTGTAATTAAATTACAATAATTTAAGTGTCAATCCTCTGTTGCCATCCTCTGATAATCATTTGGTCGGCATATGACTAGGTGAAATGGGCAAGTTGAAGTATGCTGGTGCTGTTATATTAAGTGTAGAAATGTCAAATGTAGTGTACTGTATAGGAAACCTGGATGTGTGAAAAGACTGAGTGTGAGTGAAAAAAAGAGAGGACTGCACTGTATCAGTCTGTGTAAAACACCCCTTAGCTTTACGTCACTTTTTCCCACAACTGAACCTCGCATCCTCACCTGTGACACAGACAGTGTCTCATCCTCACCTGTGACACACACACGGTGTCTCAGTGTCTCACCACATCTCACACACACACACGGTAGCGTCTTCACAAACTTTCCCTCTCTGGGGTCTAATTTAATAAATAATGCAAGAGTGTTTTGCTGAAGCAAATGGAGTAAGAGATCTTAGAGTTGAAGCAGGTGTTTGACCTTCTCCATTCACTGATGATTTCATTAAATTTGCATAGGTAATGTCACAATGCTAAAGGTTAAAAGATAATTCTGCTACATAAAGGTAACTGGGTCAGGGCAATGAGACGGGTGTTTATGCGTTTAATCGATCACTTACCCAGATGATCAAAACCTCGATACATGATGCAGGACTCTGTGGCATCAATAGCTTCTATCTGGTACCGTCCCAACGGCCCAGTCGGGAGTCCATTGTAGTCGTGCTGCCAGCGGTCGAAACCACGGAACCGAACTTTTGCACCACACCTCAGGAGCCACTCGGCAGCAGCTCGATCAGGACCCACCGCTTTAATACGCTCATAATCAACTCTATATTGAAAAACACAACAGTTACGGATCACTGCATCTGGGAAGCTGACATGACATTTCAAGCAGTGACTTCCGTGTGCTGCAGTGTGACAGGCCATCTAAAACCCGTGATAGATCAATTAAATGTCTGCTTTTGTAGCCATTTTTAATGGATAGTGCACATTTTCAGTTTTGTTTAAACTACCATTCAAATGTTTGGGGTCAATTTTTTTTTTTTTTTAAAGAAGTCTCTTATGCTCACCAGGGCTGCATTTATTTGATCAAAAATACAGGAAAAACAGTAATATTGTGAAATATTATTACAGTTTAAGATGAACTATTTTCTATTTTAATATTATTTCAAAATGTACTCTTTTCCTGTGATGGCAAAGCTGAATTTTCAGCATCATTACATGATCATCCAGTCTTCAGTGTCACATGATCCTTCAGGAATCATTCTAATATGCTGATTTGATGCTAAAGAAACATTTCTTATTATTATCAATGTTGACAACAGTTGGTCTGCTTAATATTGTTGTAGAAACTGAAATTTTTTTTAGGATTATTTGATGAATAGAAAGTTCAAATCAACAGCATTTATTTGAACCAGAAAACTATTTACAACATTATAAATCAACATTATAACATTACAACATGATAAATGTCTTTACTGTCATTTTTGCTTAATACCAGTATTTTATTTTTTTTTTTTCAAATAAATAAAAATAAAATCTCACTGACCTCAAACCTTTGAACGGCACTGTATATCTTATTTGTTGTGACAGAACTGCACTAAATGTATTTCAATTTTATAGCATCCAGTAGCAACACAGCTTTTTGGCATCAGTATTTGATAAATGAAAAACATATTTGTTGACCACTATTAACTTTTTTGTACAGCAATGTTCAACATGGAACTTTTAAAATTAATTTGTCACACTTCAGGACTGTTCAAGTGAAATGCAGAAACTAAAAAGAAATGATGACCAGTAAAAGCACGTAAAACATACACTAGATGCTATTATTTTAAAGTTCAGACTCTAAATAAGAGCTGTTGTTGTGAATTAGCAGACTTAGATTAGTCTCTGTAGGGATTCCTCACTCTATGGAACAGACTAATCACTAGACATTAGTCCCTTTATATTTATGGCTTTCACACTCAACATTTTGGTTGCTGTAATTGGCCTCAGGTGCTTTACAGTCTGCTGTGGGTTGGGAACGGAAATAAATTATGACATTAGAGAAATATTAATGTAGTTACATAACTGTTGTTTTGAAAAATATCCAAGACTTACTTGTTGAAAACAGCATTGAGCCACCCCCAGAACTCACGACTGCCCCCTGACGGCTGCTTATGTGCGGATAAAATCCTCCGCGCTGACCAGGTGAACAATCTCATGTCTATATGGCTGAGATAAACAGAGAGAAAGAGACGAGATGTCAAAGCACGAAAACGCATAGTTTAATGACACTTTCTAATAGCAGAATGATCCGTGTACGCTGTGATCCTGTCATTGAATATAGAGGACAACGTAATTTATCAAACCTCTAAATGTCGTAAAGCTCAGAGAGAATATCATTAACACACATACCATACATAGAATCTTGAGGAATAAAATAGTGTAAAACCTGCAAAACTGACCCTGCGGTTCGGGTCTGTGCTGTTCTGTATATGCGCGGAGTGTTTACATCCTGCGTCCTCCATGCGCGCTTGCTGATCGTTCACCCGTTACGCCACTACGTCTCGCGCTCTCATTGGTCAGTGAGTGTACGTCGGGGGCGGGGCTACGAAGGACAGATTCAGAAGAAGATTCCTTTACCTGAGATTAAACCATACCGAGTCAGCGACGAGCACTATGATTACACGGTTTTAATAAGTCTGTTAGAAAAAGTGAAAACGTAACTTGTGGAATAATGATACGAACTTTCGGTACAGGATCTGTGTGCGCGCACTTACTGTTACAGGGATCAAAGTATGCAACGTGCAGAGCTGCACACCACAGCGGGTGAGAATAACAACAGCACTCGAGTACTTAAAACATCAGTACAGAGTACTTACACTGACAGAAAGTGTTCCGACTGTAGTGTTACACTAAGTACCCTACTAAAAGTCCTTCAGCTATAGTATCACAATTAGTATTGTGACTGTACAGGGATATTGTTTTAGTGCAATCAATCACACTATGCACCGATAAAGGGATAGTTCACAAAATAAATTCAATTCTGTCATTATTTACTCACCCTCATGTCGTTCCAAACCTGTTTGACTATTTCTTGTGTGGAACGTAACATATTTTGAAGAATGTTGTACTTCCACTGTATGGAGAAAAAAAGTTAGAGACAGTTATCAAAATGTCTTAATTTCTGTTCCACAGAGAATGGAAAGTCAAACAGGTTTAAAATGGCACCAAATTAAAAATAAAACACTACAAACTAAAATCAGACATTTTAAATGCTACAAGTGAATTTAGGCATCACAGCATAATAATGAATAGTATTATTTATACTAGAGTGTTAGATGAAGGCAAATGTTATCTAAATGTACTGTATAAATAGGGGACATAATTATGCACAGTTAAATATCCAATATCGGCTGATTTTATACCGTTATAATGTGTAGCTCTTTCGATGTGGCCATTATTGGTGGAGGGATTGTTGGACTGGCCTCTTCCAGAGAGCTGATCCTCAGGCACCCAAACTTCACCTTTACCCTGCTGGAGAAAGAAAAGGAACTTGGTAAGTGTGTGTGTGTTCTTGATACTTCTTCATATCCGTCTTGATTTCTTATTCATTTCTTTTGTGTATTCCTTCCCACAGCTCTCCATCAGACAGGTCATAACAGTGGTGTGATCCACTCTGGGATTTACTACACGCCGGGCTCTCTGAAGGCTCAGCTTTGTGTCCGTGGAGCCACGCTGACATATCAGTACTGCCAGAAGAAAGGTGTGCCTTATAAGAGATGTGGCAAGGTGAGAACGAACATAGGCCCCCTTAATACCACAGATACCAAAGAGCATTGACTCTATAGTATCCAGTGTGTATGTGTGTGACTTCAGCTTATTGTAGCAGTGGAGAGAGAGGAGATTCCCCGACTGAAAGCTCTATATGAGCGCGGTCAGATGAACAATGTACAAGATCTCCGGCTGATTGATGCCAAGGCCATCCGAGAGAAAGAGCCGTACTGCAGGGTGAGTGACATCTGTTTGTGTGTTAATGAAAAATAGGGTTAATATTTTCCACTCTTGTACCATCCACTGGTTTGATCAGTAACCAGGAGATTGCAAAAGTGCTGTCATCTGGCTTTTACCTGATTCAGGTGACCTTAGGCCTGCTGTTTCAAACACTGAGCAATTAACCTATTTATGACTATCATGTATGTATTTGTATTTTGTATAACGTGTTTTAACCTCAGTGGTTATGTCAGTTTATGTTAAGCTGGCCCTCACATACACTACAGTTCAAAAGTTTGGGGTCGGAAGAAGATGTCAAAATGCTGCGTTTATTTTATTAAAAATACAGGAACAATTTTAATATGTTTTAAAATGTAATTTATTCCTGTGATGGCAAAGTTTAATTTTCAGCATCATTACTCCAGTCTTCAGTGTCACATGATCCTTCAGAAATCATTCTAATGTGATGATTTGGTGCTCAAGAAACATTTCTTATTATCATCAATATTGAAAACACTTTTTTGAAAACACTTTTTTCATTCTTTGATGAATAGAAAGTTCAAAAGAACAGAATTTATTAGATATAGAAACATTTTGTAATATTATAAATGTCTTATAATATTACAAAATTATAAATTTGTTTTAAAAAAGCCCATTTAGACAGGAAGAGATCATCCGAACATCATAACATGCAACTAATAACTGTTTGTTTTGTTTATAGATAATATTTTGTTAAATATGTAATACTACAACAGACTATAGTGTGACTTTCAGTAATCAGAATTTCTGTTTGTCCAAAATTAATATAAACAAATAGTTTCCCAGTTTATATTAGAAAATGAAGCAGAATTTCAGCTTTTTACTGGCGCAACCCTAAAGTCCCGGAAGTGCCAGCCAATCAGATCTGCTGGGAACTGCTGATTTCAGCCAACCTGTGCCATTTTTGCCTGCAAATATACATAAAACAGTCAGAGAATGGACTGTACATGTAATAATGAATGGTATTTTTTGTTTCTCCATAGGGCATCATGGCATTGGACTCTCCAAACACAGGGATTGTTGACTGGCAGTTAGTAGCTCTGACCTACGGTAAGGAATTCCAGGAAGTAGGTGGCACTGTGATAACTGACTTTGAAGCATCTGACATTAAGGTGGCAGCAGAAAGCCCAGCTGGGAGTGCTGAAGGTGAGTCACGTGACCTGCTCAAAGTCTCAGACCTCTTTATTTTCTTTAATATCACTGTATTCATCTCTTCACTATGTGTGTTTAGGCCTGAAATATCCCATCATCATCAAAAGCTCACAGGTGAGAAACTGATGTGTATGAATCATGTTTTTATGATCTCTTGGGTTGGTGTCTTAGTATGGCTGTGTTTGTGTGCAGGGGAAGGAGGTGAGGTGTAGGTTTGTGTTGACGTGTGGAGGCCTTTACTCTGATCGGTTGTCTGAGATATCTGGCTGTAGTTCAGAGCCCCGTATTGTTCCCTTCAGAGGAGATTACCTGGTGCTCAAGCCAGAGAAAAATTTCCTGGTCAGGGGCAACATCTATCCTGTGAGTAGAAACACCCCACACAGACACATAATGCTCAGATATACGAGAACGTGTGTTTAAGGACTCTGTTTGTATGCTGAGGTGCCAAACCCACAGTTCCCATTTCTTGGATTCCATTTCACCCCTCGTATGGACGGTAGCGTCTGGCTGGGCCCAAACGCTGTTTTGGCTTTTAAAAGGGAGGGATATAAACTCTTTGACTTCGACACACAAGACTTCATTAATGCGGTCTCCTACAGGTACAATGAAATACACTTTGGCATCTATAAGTTGAAAAGTTTGGGGTCAGTAAATTAAATTGATCAGAAGTGACAGTAAAAATATTTACAAAAGATTTGTGTGTCAAATAAATGCTGTTCTTTTGAACTTTCCATTTATCAAATAATCTTGGAAAGAAATATTAAGCTGCAACTGTTTTCAACATTGATAATGATAAAAAAAAAAAGTTTCTTAAGCAGATCAGGATATAAGAATGATTTCTAAAAGATCATGTGATGCTGAAGACTGGAGCAATGGCTGCTGAAAATTCAGCTTTGCCATCACAGGAATAAATTGTATTTTATAATATATTGAAATAGAAAACAATTATTTTAAATTGTAATATTATTTCACAATATGACTATTTTTTACTGTATTTTTGCTCAAATAAATGCACAAGCGTAAAAAATTCTAATGAAAAAATCTTACAGACCTTACTTTTTTATGGTAGTGTACACTCATATTAACATTCTCATGCATGCATAGAGTGCACTTAAAGAAATATTCAGGGTTTAGTTAAGCTCAGTCGACAGCACCTGTGGCATAATATTGATTACTACAAAAATTTATTTCACCTAGTTTTCTTTAAAAAAAAATCTAGGTTACAGTGAGATACTTACAATGGAAGTGAATGGGGTCAATCATTAAATGCTAAAATACTCAGTAGTATAGCCACCTGACTAAATAATGTAAGTTGAAAAGTTTGGGGTCAGTAAATTAAATTGATCAGAAGTGACAGTAAAAATATTTACAAAAGATTTGTGTGTCAAATAAATGCTGTTCTTTTGAACTTTCCATTTATCAAATAATCTTGGAAAGAAATATTAAGCTGCAACTGTTTTCGACATTGATAATGATTAAAAAAAAAAAGTTTCTTTTTTTTAAATTGTATTTTATAATATATTGAAATAGAAAACAATTATTTTAAATTGTAATATTATTTCACAATATGACTATTTTTTACTGTATTTTTGCTCAAATAAATGCACAAGCGTAAAAAATTCTAATGAAAAAATCTTACAGACCTTACTTTTTTATGGTAGTGTACACTCATATTAACATTCTCATGCATGCATAGAGTGCACTTAAAGAAATATTCAGGGTTTAGTTAAGCTCAGTCGACAGCACCTGTGGCATAATATTGATTACTACAAAAATTTATTTCACCTAGTTTTCTTTTAAAAAAAATCTAGGTTACAGTGAGATACTTACAATGGAAGTGAATGGGGTCAATCATTAAATGCTAAAATACTCAATAGTATAGCCACCTGACTAAATAATGTGTGTTAACATGATTTTAGTGTAAAAAATTACTTACTAACTTGTGTAGTTATATCCAATTTTACAACTTTGTTACCATGGCAACATAATGCCTAAAACCCTAAAACGACCATAAAGATGACAATGTTACAGCTCAAATAATATGCTTTATTAGACAAATTAATGTGTTTTTATAAATGGTTTTAAAGTAAGTTTAATAAAACAAGGGATGAGTCGAAACATTACCCCAAAAATGATGTCTATTGAGCTTACTGAACCCAGAATATTTCTTTAAGTTCATTTTATGATGAACTGTCTTATTCAAGACAGTTTCTTGAATTAAAAACGAGGCTCCTTGCTCATGTTCATAATGTATATGTGTGTATGTAGGGGTCTGCAGAGGCTGGTAATGAAGAATATTGTTTATGGAATGGGGGAAATATACAGAGGTGTGTTTACCAGTGCTCAGGTAAAGAACCTG